GGGAGAAAAAGCGGTAGCTAGCGCCGCAGGCTTAGAGATTTTAGAGGAACGCTGGCTCTTGCGCCGCAGGCTTCCAAAAAAAGAAAGGGAATTCATGATTTTTACACGGGGGCCCAGTGGAAAACGGCCGCGAAGCGGTATTTTTGCACTGTTTATGATATATAAAAGCTATTTTTGAAATACAGCCCAATATTTGGGGTCAGGCGTCGAAAACGCTGTCATTCCTCTTCTCGTCGTCCTTTGTATTTTCAGAATTGCAACGCATTTACGAATGGATAAAATGTGTTTATTGATGAGAGAAAGAGGGAGAGAGAGCAGGGAATTAAAGCCAAATCGATGAAATAACGGGGGAATAATGAGGATTAGTATTTACAGGCCAAAGCACGAATTCTCAACAATTATTCGCCAGCTGAAAATGCGAAAAAACGATAAAAAAGAAGAAGGGGGAAAGGATAAAGCTCGATCGGCAGAACCGGATGGAAATGGACAAGGGGGAAGACAAACAAAATGGGGGTACTGTCGAAAAGAGATTTTGAGGGTTGTAGGCATGGGGAAAAGCGGGAAAAAGACATCACGGAAATCGTAGGCATCACCGAGGAGAATCTCTGGCAAGCTGAATAGGCGAGACTGCCACATGACGTCTTCAATTGGGTGCCCGGCTCGTAGTTGTTCGAGAAGCCGGAAATCTGTCAGCTTCCACCATGCCCAATTGCTCGAAGAACACCACGTTTTCCGGCTGAAAAACGGACAATACGCGAATATTCTGGCTAATTGGAGCTTTTGCATTATCAGGGGGGATAGACGACCTACAACAGAACTAAAGGGCTTTTTATCAGATAAACCATTTTCGACGGAATTCCAAATTTTGAACCCTTCTCAACGTTCCGAATACATTAAATTCTAGAAGGGAAAACTATTAGGTTCTTGGGCATTATCGGGGTCTAGAGGAGGCCTAGAAAATAAAAAGAAAGTTAATAAACTTTGTGATAAACTAAAACTATATTTCAAACAGAAAAGCTATCCAAAAATCTTCAGAAAATCGAAATTTCTAGCAAAAAACAGCCATTTGGGGTCGAAAATCGTTTTTTTTGTACGATTTCATAAAAATTTGTACGGCTTTTACTCTTAGGAATAGTGAAAACGGTTTAGAGCCTCCCCCGCTAATGCGAAAGATCCAATAGTGGGCATTGCAGCAGAGATCCTTGAGGAATAGCCTCAATTCGTGCTCACCTTGAGATCTCGATGTACGACGTGCAATTTGTGGCAGTAGCTGATGGCTTTGATAATTTGGCTGAAGTATTGTTGGGCGAGTAACTCAGGGCATCCTAAAATATTCCCCAGAGTATTTTAACCGAAAACACGCATTTTCAGGGTTTCCCCCGTTTTTTGGAGCACAAAATCCGCACGTTCTCCTCGTACTTCAAGATGAAATCAATTGACATATCATGGTCGCGATAAGCTCGAGGAGTGAGAGAGCTTTGTCTGCGTGTCAATCACCTCGTAGAGACGGACAATGTTCGGATGTTGCACCAGTTTCATACAGCGAACCTGAAAACGGCAAAGAAGATTCATTTTGAAGGGTGAGCACGACCTCTTGCATCATGTGCTCGCGCGATTCAATGTCCAGATTGTCCTTGTCGATGATTTCCACCGCCACCTGAACGGAATCGATTAATTTTGGCGGTTTCTAGGTGTAGGAAGAGCGGGGAGAAGCTAGAAAACTTTTTTTCTAGCGTAGGAAATGTAAAGAAAAATGTATTTTCGTGTTTTTCCAAGGCAGTAAAATCGAAAAACGTCATTTTCGAGTTTTTCCAGCCTAGTAACTGTCCAAGAAGTCTATTTGCGAGTTTTTCCAGCGCAGTAAAATCCATTGAGCGTTTTTCCGCGTAGAAAGCCTAAACCAAGTTAATTTTCGTGTTTTTTCTCGGCATAGAAAAAGTCAAGAAGGTTTATTTTCACGTTTTTCGGCGCAGTAAACTCCAAAAAGCTTATCTTTGCGTTTTTCAGCGTGGGAAAAGCCAAATAAGCTGATTTTCGCCTTTTTTTCATTTTCCAGAGTTGGAAAAGCCAAAAAAATCCCCTGATTTCTGTCTTTTGCACTTCGGATCAGCCAGAAAAAAATTAAATTAGGTTTTTATAGCTTTTATAGCAATTTTATAGTTTTGCAATAGAGATGGCTTTTCAGCTTACAGAGTTCAATCGAAAAACCTCAAAAAGAAGACATTTCTCTCCGCCGTAAAGAAGGTTTTTAGGCGACGCTATAGATCTCTCTTTTTCGCAGTTTCCTATGGAAAAACGGCGGACCTGCTCCTGTGTGAAGACATGCTTGGCCCGTTTGACGATGGCAAAATGTCCCTGGCCAATCGTCTGCTCCAAATCGTAGAGCCCGGCGATACGTGCATCTAAATGAGCATCATAATTCTGAGATTTCTGGGTAACCGTGTTCATCGTCTCGATCCCGAACAAACTGACCCTTGATGTTCAGCGATTTCTTTCGCTTTGGCACACCGTCCGTCGTCGCGGCCCTGCCACTCCTCCTCGCGGCAACCACCGAGTGCGCCCTGCAAAAACTTGATTAAAAAGTCAAAAATATTTAAAAAATAGAGAATTGAGAAGCGGATCGATAAAAACAAACCAAAAATGAATCCGGGACTCTAAAATGTGGCTTTTAATCGGGTTTAAATCATATAAGAATTATCTAAACGTGGGAAATAGAGAAAAACCAAGATAATCAAGCAGTCGCAAAAGTTAAAGAATTTTCCAAATAAAACCACGCGGAAATTGTACTGAAAAGGCCAAATATTCATTTCGCCCATTTCATTTCGCCAAATTTCGTTGCTTCCAAAGTAAGTGAATCGGATTCTTCAGAATTGTTAAAAGAATACAAGACGTAAGTAAGTCGGTCACTAAATTTCAAAAAAGATATATCGAGAACCAGCGGAGAAAAGTCAGTGATTTGAACGCGGCAAAAGTTGGACCAGGATTGCCTAAATAAACTTTAATGCCTGAATTACGGTTTCTCTGGAAAACCAACCAATCAATACAAAACAAAATATTTTCGACGCTATAATACTCAACGATGGTGAAAGTCTCGCCAAAGAAACGCTCATCAAAATCTGGTAGGGCGAATTTTGTCTCACCAGAATATCTACCCACAGGGGCAAAGCGGTGGTGGTAGCGGAAGAAGCGTGACCTCCGGCAAGATCAAGCGATCGCCCAAAGAAGTAATGATACCCCCACCCCCGGTAAGAGAATGGCCGTTTAGATCAGCAACAATTTATAGAAGGCCCGGGTCAAGAAGCTGTACCCAAGCAAAAGCTGATGAAGCCCGAGCACGAGGCGCCATTTTCCTGACGCCAGAGGCCATCAAGCGGAAACCGCGTCCCTCTGGGCGCCAGAACGAAGCGTCGGCGTACGTAGCCTGTAAAGCGTGCCGGGATATGCTCCTCCCTCGGATCCCCAGAACAGCAGACCGACCCCGGCTCTTTCTTTTGGTTTCCTCTCCAGCGATGGATGGCTAAATGTTTGTTGCTTGATCTCGCCGGCTGCTCCAACGGTTGAATAAAGATACCAGTCGGGCCCAGCAACTTCCACCCTATTACATGAAATCGCGGTATTTGCACGGCGCCTCTCAGGGCCCGCCTTGGAGCGTGCACGAGGGGGCAAGGGGTTCGTAACCTTACTTGGGGCGCGCACGAGAGGGAGACAGGGAATGGGCGAGGCCACGCCCCTTTTCGCCCCCAAAATGTATTAGAAAAATCCCTTCTCATGGCTATAACTTTTTATAAAGAAAAAAATCAGGAAATTCTCCGCCTGGTAATTTGTAGAGAAGACCCCGGGAATATTTTGGTAAGAATCTCAGGATCGCGAGAGAAAAACAAGGATTTGAATACGCTTGAAGCGATTATCAAGACGATGTTCTCGGTGCCAGGGCCTCATCTTCCCACTCCTTCTGCCTGGGATTCGCCACAGATTTGTTGTTTGCGCTTTTCGAAATATTTGCAAAAAAAGCAAACCATGTGATGATTTTACGCGAGGAGAGGAATCGAACCCTGACCCTCCGCCTGACGCCGCCTTGGCCCACGCCCCCGCACCCCCGTGCGCGGAAAAACGATGATGGGGGATGGGAGGGACTGGGCTAGGGCACGCCCCATTCTGCCCCCAAAATGTATGGGAAAAAGCTTGGTTAAGGCTATGACTTTTTTCCAGAAAGAATTTACAAATTTTCCACCTGGCGATCGATAGAAAGACTCTAGGGGAACAAACATTTTGGTCAAGAATTTGGGCGATCCGCCGGGAAAAATAAGGACTTGAAACGTTTTGAAGCAAAATCGAGAGTTTTTCTGGTTGCGGCCCCGGGACCGTCTTATCTGCCCCAATTTTCGCCGTGGAATTCGCTAAAGGTTTATTGACGGTGCTTTGCAGAAACGTTTTGCAAAAAAAAGCAAAACGGTGTCGCGTCTTTAGGCGAGAGGAGGAATCGAACCAACACCCCGCGCCTGCCGCCGCCTTAGACCACTAGGCTATGCCCGTTCCCCCCCCCGTAAGCGCTCTAAGACACCATGAAAATAGGGTTGAAAAGTATAAAATATCATATTAAATGTTGGGCCCTGAGCTTGATGAAAATGTGGAGACCGAAGAGCGACACAATAAACCACAAACCAAGAGACCTGTCAACGCAGCATTTATTCGAATAGGGGTACGACGATTAATGAGAAAGAAGGGTATAGGCATAGAAATCGAAAAGAGATACCCGAAAACGCGACGGAAGACAGAGGAGGAGAGAGAGGGAGAGACGGACAATTAAAACGACAGGCAAACACGGTGCTGTGCAAAGGAATGCCTGGGGAAATCGCAGGCGACTTACATTGGGAACGAGGATACACGACGATGGGCGGAGGGAGCGACCCGTAATTAACAGTGCGAGCGACGAGACTATAGGGTTATGGTACAAAATCAAAGGGGAGGGGCGCTAACAAAAAAAACACAAAACTCAATCACGACACATAGCTGTATATCCGGGGATCTTTGTTGTCGCGCACCAAGTAGTCCCTCTCGATCAGCGCCTCGATGCGCTGCTTGATGAGGGCCGGCGTGGGGATGAAGCGCTTCGCCACCTGTTCGGCCACCTGGAAAAAGCGTGTACGTGTTGCAACTCTACACTAATGGCGCAGCTATTGAAGTTGGGGGAAGGCTAAGCTAAGCTAACCACAAGCCAAGCATAGTTTAAGCCAAGGCCAAGCCTAGATCCAAAGCCTTCCCCAACTTCAAGAGGCTCCGAAATCTGGTCCACGGCCCCCTGCTGTGATTCCTGGCAAATAGCCAGATGCGACCGCAACGCGACCGCGCCGCATGGTCTTTTGCCCCTGTTTGGACGCGAAAACGCTTGAATTTAAAAATTCTGATGCTATTTTTGGAATCTGCACCAAATTTTGATCATTCTAGACTTTTAAATTATGAAAATTGACCAGAGAATCGCCGAGATCGAGAGATTGGGTGCCTTACAAGGCATTACGACAGGTAATCGCCGCGCACTCAAAATGTCGTTTTCGCCCCAAAATGAATTCGGATTTTCTCAAATATTTTACGTTTTTTCGCAATGAAATCACTTTTCTGGCACTCCTCGGCAGTGACCCTTGCGTTTCTTGACCAGTAGGTTCAATCCCCGCACACACGAATTTTGACTTCTGAGCCCCTTTCAATAGCTCCCTAGCCACAATTCCCGCAAAAAGGATACCTGCATGACGAGAGACGAGTGGTCGAGCGTCTTCCGGGCCTTCATCACGCGCACCACCGCGCACTCCACCTCGTGCTTCCGGTCGTCGGTCAACTGAAAGGGAAAAGCCGGGTGAAAACGCGCGAAAAAGGGTGATACCTGATCGGGCAGCTCGGGCTCGACGGATTTGCCGGGTCGGGCCGCCGTGCTGTTGGCCTTCGGGTCGACGATCGAGGCGATCTTGATACGGAAGAGCTTCGACGTGAACGCGTCGTTGACGAAGAATTGGTCGCGTCGATCTGGAAATGCTGATAAAAACAAGCACATAAGCGATAGACTGACCGATGGTACGCGTGGGAGGGTTGGTAGATGATGAGGAAGTGCTTGGCCCGGGCTGCGTGGCCAGAAGACGGCCGGTTGGCGGACGAGGATGCGCTGCGTCGGCTTGCCCATCGATAGACTCTGCACCGTCTTGCCCACGTCCTCTTCACCAATGCCGGATGCCTCGATCAGCTCGTCGAAGGTGTACAGCGGCTAAAATCGGAAATAAAAAACCCAAGTATCAAAAAAACTATATCGTAGCTAT